GCAATGGTGAGTAACATCAGAAATGTTTGTTTTCATGATGATAACATATAGATCAACTGACCCCATCTCTTAAGATCAATTGCAATCAATCTTGTTCTGATTCTATGATTTTTGCTTAAAAGAACGAAGAAGAACATTGGCTTTCATAGATCAACTTGAAATGAAACTGCATGCTAGAATATCAATTACTAATTGATGCTTTTCTGTTAGAAACAGAAAGCAATATTTCTCTGGAATATGGTGTTAGTTAAGGTGTTGGATGGAATAATCAGATCTATGTTGACTATTGATTGGTGAGTTTACTAGATAAAGCTGAATTGGATTATGGTCCATTGTTTTTCCCACCCAATATTTTCCATGTTTCAAAAGGGGAAGATCTGTTATTATGAATTACAAGACTTAGTTACACATCCTTGATATTTTATTTGATTAAGAATTGGTTAATATAGAATTTCATAAAAGTATTGGACCACCTCTTTTTTGTCATAACAATGAAATGTTTTAACAATGAAATGTTTTGAATCTGTCGTGATGTTTCTTTGGCCACTGGGAAATATCCCACTAGAGATTCACGTCACCTGACCTGAATGAACTTTGATGTTACAGGGTTCAAGCTGTGTCCAATTCAAGAGGAAATAGCTCTGCATCCGAGGGAAACTTCTAAAAACTAAATATTAATTGTGGAAGGCTTATGATTGCTTTATGCATTTAATCCTGGAATGCTCTAGTTAGTTTCTGGATGGAGTTTTAATGGATTATGAAATCCCAGATAGATAGATGCTTGGTCCAGTTCTGGTGTTGCGTTTGATTTCATTAATGCTCTGGTTTCATATTATCTGCTCTTAGTTTTCTTGCTGTTGAAATGAAGGCTGTACTCCAGGGAGATAAGATCAGTTACTCCTCTCTTGCACTCTTCTTCCGTTAATAAAGTCATTAACCTAGGAAATCCCCTGGAGCGTTTTTTTTGTTTTTTTTTGTACTTGGTTCTTGTGTTTTTTTCTGTCTTTGGGTTGTGAAAATGTTTGATGATTGCTCAATGTGACCCAAGTTTCTTTCACGACATGAGACGGCTGGATAAAAATAAGTTGTCAATCTTGACCATTGTTGCTCATAGGAGTATGATCACAACAGTCATTTCGGAGCACTATATTTTTGGTATGTCTTGCAATGGTATCACAACACCAAGATTATTCCCCTACCCAAGCTCCTGGATTTCATTCTACATGAGCAGAATCATCACTTTCATCCTTCCCCCTCAGGGACTGATATGGTTTGTGTTTGCTGCTTTGATAACTACAATCATGAGATGACAGCAGCAGCACCTAGCTGAGTCGCAACAGCAGCCAAAAACTGTTCTGGGTTTTGATTCCAGCTATATGGTATTAAAGCAATGCAAAGTTCTGGATGTTGAACTGGGAAGCGAGTGGCTGCAATTTGGCTGGTTAGTGTATTTTTGGGCACTGTGGTAGCGAGCTCCTCATTTTGATGAAAAAGAATTAAATTAATTTTTTTTTGACAGTTTTGACGTTGCATATATGAAAAAACAAAAAAAGAAAAATTAAAAAAAAAAGAAATTAAAATTATTTTTAAAAAAACCTCTACCAGTATACACACTAATTTAGTGGGAGTGATGCTGTTCTTCATGCGCTCGTCTGAAGATGTAAAGACCGCTAAGGACTGAAAATGAAAATTGAACTGGAGAATTCTTTTGGAACTGAAGACTGTATTGTCTACTATCATTTAAGATGGAAGTAGAAATGTACGGGCAATTCAGATCTGCATCTATTTCCTTGGCAGGTTGCGTGTGTATGACCCATCGTTTATTAAATGCAAGAACTAGGGGGGTTAAAAGGTGCTCTGTTAATCGCCGACATCATAACTGAAAGATTGATCACTCCAATACGTAACCTTTTACCCCTCTTCTGCTGGTCTTGTTAAAAGATTGATTTTTACATTTTGAAAACTGCCCGGTTAACATTTTGTTTTTTTTTGTAGATATTCACCAGTCATTCCGTGCTGATGGAGGATAAATTAATTTTTATTTATTTTTTCATGTGTAAAATAATTATTGTTTTAAAATCAATTTTTTTAAAGTTAATGTCTATGGACGTTTTGTATTTTCAATTTTCTCAGCTCAATAAGATGATGTAAATACTCGTAAAGTAGAAATTTACTTTAACTTATGTTAAGAGATATTTTTGTATTTTCATTCTTTTTTTATTATTATTATTAGGTTTGACAGAGGAGTATTATTGTAATTTTACAAATATAAATATTATTAAAAAAAAAAAAGTGTGTTACATGGGCCAGCGTGTAATGGTTGCGGTGCTGTTTAGGCTATGTGTGTGGCATCACCTAACGTTGTAATGCTAGTTTTTGAAACGACAACCTCTTCATTTCTGGGTAGTATATATGGTTAATGAATCTCTGTTCTGGTGTCGAGTATATTTTATTCTTCTTCTCTCTTTTCTTATTTTCATGTTTGTACGTATAAATTTTCAAAGCTTTTTCCTTCGGATTTGTTCCATGCTCCTTTTATTATTATTTGTTTTATTCAATATAGTTTATAAAATTAGATTTTTAATTTTCTTTTAAGTCAGATTTAATCCACTTCTTTTTAATTATTATTTGTTTTGTTTGAATACAATTTCATTATCTTTTATTTTTTTTTTTCGATAAAAAACTTTGTTAGATGTTCCCAATTAATTTATTTTTTTTTAATTTAATTTTTTAATATTATATTGGTTGAAAATTTAATTTCTTAGTTGAGCATGAGTCTAGAATTTCATGAATTATAGATTTAGAAATTTAACTCAAGTTTAGAAGACTCATCCATGTTTACTTTGCCATTTTTCTTTAATATCTCTTATTTATTTTACTCACTTTTAAGCCTTTAAGGGCTTTGTTACCTTTTCCTATTTCTTTTTGTTTTTCAAAACATTACAGTCTTAATAAAAGAATTTCTTTAAACCAATGGAGCATAGAGGGTCTCAATTTTTTCTCTCTCGTTTTTATTAAAATGGAAAGGCTATTCTCTTACCGGAGATTGTATTTATGTCTTCGCATATGAACCACAAATTTATGAAGACTGTACTTTCAGATTTACGATTAAAAGGTCAAATCTACACCGCACAACACCAAACAGAACCTAACTATCAAGGAAGAATTTAAAAAAAATGCACTCCATGTATGAGGAGCCACAAATTTCATTACAAAGAGGGTCCATGATAATTGATGAGTACCCCATTAAAACCCTTGGTATCATGAACCAACGTTGTCGGAAAAAACATAGGCAGGAAATTTAAGTTTTTTAACAAAACCCATCAAAATACTGTCAGTCTCTGTATCTATCCTTGCTCAAGTTCATATAGTTTATGGTAATCAAGTCTTTGGAGTCTTTGACAGTTTGTTGTGTCCCATCAGATTTTACGATCACTTGATTTGACGTGAAAGGGGAGAATAAAAAGAAGAACAGTTCAAAACGACATTTGAGCTTGGTTTGAAGCTTGTAATGATGCAGCATCCACAGTAAGAACAACGAAGCACAAGAACATATGTTAAGTGTAAGATATTTTGCCTTCACTCCTGCTAATGTGGAATACTGGCATCATCATTATGGTCGTCTAGTCGAGATGCTTGGAAGCGGAGATCTTCCGTAAACGCCGACCTTAAGTTTTGAGTTCACAGACTCACAATAGATTTTATCCTGAAAAGACGTATCTTAATGAGAAAAGCGATGCCAAAATCTTTTAGTTATCCAAACCCTCCACTGTTCAGTCTGTAAACATATTGAAGGCCGTAGCATTCCTGCGTGTGAAGGCGCATGAAAATTCTAATTTGCTGAAGAAGCACTGCAGCAGCTGTCAGTCAAAAACCAGGGAGCCATGGACCTCAAACCGCGAGACCTTTTGACTTGTTGCGCACTGTATTTATTGCAGTTCAAAGGACATGCCACAGCCCCCATGTATTTATGATCCTTTTCTTCTTCTGTTTTTCTGAAAGGATCTTTATGGTAAGGCCATAAACGACTAAAACGAGTGATAATCAAGGGCCCCACATGCCCCTACTTAAATGCCAGGCTATCGGATAACTCTTAAATTTTGTGTAAGACGCAAAGGAAAAAAACTGAAACCCACAAACCTAGCAGTCTCTGCTAGCTAGCCTTTCCAAACAGTAAGAACAAAAAAAAAAAAAAAGGAAGGTGAGTTTTCTTTTCTTGCATGTTCTTCCATATTTCGGTGCAGTAGCATCATCCGGTTGTTTAATTCTTATATTACGTTGACTCTTGTGATCGAGAAGCAATCCTGACGAGTTAACCTTGTGAGAAGATTTATTATTTTATATTTTTATATGCTCTTCATTTATGATATTTCCATTTTTTATAAGATTTAGTGTGTTTCTTTAACACCAAAAGGAGTCCACATAATAAATATCCATACGAATTTATCACACATTAAATAAAACGGGTCTATCCTAGTCAACAATCTAGCTGTCAGTATAATATTTCCATTGAATGATTCATTTATTTTTCATTGAAATTGCTTCTGCTTTGCTGTATATGTTTAGAATCATTCTCGGTTCATTCTTGAATCTTACAAGAAAAAAAACTCAAACATACAATACTCCAATTTACAGTTTTCAAGAAAGTAATTAGAGGGGATGAGTGGGTTAACATATCATGGTCTGTCCGTACAGTGTAGGTCATCGTGAGCGCCATTATTTCTTTCTTTCCCCATAAATTTTCTCGCTGTCAAGAACTCACCATTAATGCTTTCCCTGTCACCTTCACCGTATGCCTCTCTCACTTGCCTGTTCTGTTCAATAAAAAAATGCACGTCAAAAACAGAAAAGAAACCCTATATTAATTAACTCCCCTCAATTCCCTTATAGTTCTTAGTACAAGTTTTTGGTTCAATGATGATACAGGACCTCTCTCAAATAGGACAATATACCTGTAATTGTCATGCATAAATACTCAGAAACCCTATATTAATAAACTCTCTTCAATTCCCTCATAGTTCTTAGTACAAATTTTTGGTTCAATGATGATACAGGACCTCTCTCAAATGGGACAACATACCCGTAATTGTCATGCATAAATACTCAAAATTATATATACATGTATTTATTGCATTGCCGGCTTAAAACTTGCTGATAATCCTTTCTTGCACAACCCGCGGTAAATTATCACTTTCGATTTCCCTAGATAAGATCACTCCAGCATTTAATTTATAGCTTCTCTCTCTCTCTAGTACAATGCTTCTCTTTGAAAAAGCCTGTCTTTGTACGCGTGTGTGGACTTTACAGGCTATTGCTTTTGTTTTTTTACATTCATGGTAAATTAAGAGTGAGTACCTAGCTTTTGTTGGAAGATTATTGTTGTAATAAAAAGTGAAGGTTTCGGTCAAGGAGATGGGGAGGACACCTTGTTGTGATAAGAAGGGTTTGAAGAAAGGGCCATGGACACCTGAAGAAGATGAGCTTCTTGTTACTTACATCAAGAAGAATGGACATGGCAGCTGGCGCTCTCTCCCTAAGCTCGCAGGTATTTCATATAGTTAAACTCTAGCCACTGCTTTCTTTTGATTTAGGAAGCTGAAGTTGCATTGATCTAAATTTTTAGCTTCCATGGAGTTGTATATGTGTGTGTGTGTGTGTGTGTCTCATCACCAGCTTCAAAAGTGCTGATAATGTGTTGCACTTGGAGGGTCAAATAGAATATTTGTTGGACTTGGATAGTAGAACTATTGTGGTATTGTAAAATGCTTTGAATATTCAAGTGGTTAAATTCTACAAGCTACTTCACAGTATTGCATTCCTTCTTACTGAATTGATGTTGTCGCTGTTTACTGGGCAATGTTTATCTGGACGTTCACAACCAGGTGGTAATTGATTACTTCACATGACTATTTAACGCTCAAAACTAAAATTAATTTATTGATATCTTTCTTTTGTCTTGATCTTCGTGATTATCAACTCCTTACTTGTACGAAATTAACTTGTCTGCTATATAGGGATATTTTCTGTTGTGTTGATAGCAATCTGCCCACTTCCGAGAGGATATTGACGTTTTAGAAATTTTCCTTCTAAAAAACTTAACTTTCTGTACTTGAATTTCCTGCTTGATCGATCATATCTGCAAAAATAATAACTTCCATGCAAAATCTGCTTAAGCTCAGGTAACTTGGACAATGGTACAAAACTCTCATTTAATAAAAATCTTGAAGAATATATAATGTATATTTGTTAATTATATTTTATAAAAATGAAGATTACTTTTATTTTTTTAAAAAAATCTTTTAGTAACTTGTTAGATATATATAAAAAATAACAAAAAAAATATTTTTTAAATATTTAAAAGATCTCATTTATAATTTTACCTAAAACTTCATTCATCTTAAATGGACTCTGATCCCTTGTAACTCTTTTCTTTGTTTTGCAGGTCTTCTTCGCTGTGGAAAGAGTTGCAGGCTTAGATGGACAAACTACCTCAGGCCTGATATAAAACGGGGTGCCTTTACTCTCGAGGAGGAGAAGCTTGTCATTCAGCTTCATGGCATTCTTGGAAACAGGTAGTTTCTAACTATATGAAAATATATAATGCTTAAGTAATTCACTAATTAATTTAATGGAAAAAAGTGGCTTAGATTAATTTTTTCCGTATAATAAAGCATTAGGATTGTTACTGAATATAGCGTGTGCAGTGAAGCTCTTTTTGGCTAACCAATTCTCTAAATACAGGTGAGCTACGAATAGAGTTATACTAGAATCTATTATATATAAGGATCAACAGAATCCTCTTCAGATTATGTTATAACAATTTCCTGATTATAGGAGATAATATATTTGAATTTCTATTTGTTTAAATGTGTTTCGCTATACCTATAACTCTAGAACTCCAGTATAAATAAAACTAGAGTGCCACAACAAAGGCGATGCGGTAATTTCATAATCCTTCATGATATCATGCCATCTAACACATCATTTAATCCTTTAGCCTCTAACACATCATTTTCCTCCTTGTCCTTCATCATCATGGTAAACCTTCTAATCATTAAATTATCTTCTTCTAGCTATCTCCTTTGGAGCAGTCAAATACTACCACTATTGTAGACCTAGCATCTCTTTGGATATGTTGATGGTTTTGTTGTTATGCCTTCTGCAACTGATGCTTCTGGTTCAGAAAATTCAGAACTTGTTAAGTGGCTACAAATGGACCAATTTGTGCCCAGCCTTTTACTTTCTTCCTTCACCGAGGAAGCCATATCTGTTGAGGTTGGATTACATTCCTATCATGAAGTTCAGTCTGTTGGATATCATTTTCAATCATCGTTCCAAATCTCATGAGCTTTGTCTAAAAGGTGACTTGTAACACATGAAGAAGAACTCACGTAGTGTTGTAGAATTTTATTTGAGAATTCAAAGCCACCTGTGATCAGTTGGACGTTATGGGCAGACTTGTTGATGAACTCGACAAATATATCATGGAGAATGCTAGCAGATAGTCAAATCAATAGAATTACAATGAAGTACTATTTTCTTATTTTTCAATCGGATGACATGCTAGATATGATGATATAAGCCTTTTCAATCGGATGACATGCTAGATATGATATGCTAGATATGATGATATAAGCACAAGTTTTCTTTAAAATTAACATAAAAAATAGATATTATCAAATTAGGATGTGTTAGGGATATGAATAAAAAACTACTTTTAAAATTAATAATAAATTATATAAGTAGCTAGTCATGTATTTCAGCCTTTTCAATGTACCAAATATTTTCATGAGAGTAATGACAAATATGTTTAGGCTATTTATAAAAAAATTCTTAATAGTGTATTTTGATGATAAAGAACAAAAAAAGAGCCTTTAAATTATCTTATTCAAGTTTATATCACCTTAAGAAAGGAAATTTTATCCGTCATTAGTGTCAAAAAAATATTCTTTCTTTGTAGTTCAAGTGGTTTTCTTAAGGTTTATAATATCATGAATGGAAGTCTACTAATTCATAAAAAGTCCAAGCCATAATAGATTGGCTTGAGCCTAAAAATATTCACGAGGTTCATAGTTTTCTTAGACTTATGATTTTTTATCAATGTTTTATCAAGGGGTTTAGCACCTTCACATCATCTATTGTAGATTATTTGAAATAGGGTGAGTTTCAATAAAATAAATGAGCTAATAAGACATTTGAGGAGGGGTGAGTTTCAATAAAATAAATGAGCTAATAAGACATTTGAGGAGGTTAAGAAGAAGATGATGGATGCCTTCTCGACTTTACTAAGATGATTAAAGTAGAATATAATGCCTTAAGAGTTGGTATAGGTGAAATACTTAGTCAGAAATGTCACCCTGTAACCTATTTTAGTGAGAAACTTAATGAGACCAAACAAAAGTATTTAACCTATGATAAAGAATTTTATATGATGGTTTAGGACCAATGCTATTGGTGTCATTATTTTCTATCACAAGAGTATGTTCTTTACTCTGATCATAAGATCCTCCACTATCTCAACTTCTAAAAGAAGCTCAACCATATGCATGGTCTTTGGGTTGAGTATTTGTAAGCCTATTCATTTGTTTTGAAACATTAATATGGAATGAATAATAAAGCAATAAATGTCTTGAGTCACAAGGCAAACGCTATTATCTGTAATGAGTGTTGAAGATACTGGATTTGAGAAACTAAAAAAAAAGCATGAATCTTGCCCAGTGTCACGGGATCGCGCATTGCGACGTTGTCTGGCGATGGCAGAGGCTTTTGTCATGCCTCTTGTGTGAGGTGTTGTGTGATGGAAAGGGATGGCAGAGGCTTTTGTCATGCCTCTTGTGCGAGGTGTTGTGTGATGGGAAGGTTTTTTGGATTTAATCATTAAATTATAATTAATGTTTAGGAGTCGCCACCTAGTATTATGATCGCTAGAAACCTATGGTCTGCAAGAGTCTGGGTAAGGGATTAGTTGTGCAACGAGAAGACATATCACCTCCAATGCACCCTACCTAAGGTAAGTTATATTGTTGTTTAATTGTTTTTTTAAGTTAGGTTTCTATTCGTTGGTCTTTTTTAAGGTTTAAGGTAGATCTCTCTCTTTATGAAAGAGTTTTTACCTTATTGGGTTAAATCCTAATCATTCTAAAGCCTGAATTTTAAAATCATATTTATTTATCATTCTAAAGTCTGAATTTTAAAATTATTTACACCTTGTATTTTTAATACCTGAGAGTGCACTTTATCATATGATTTTACACCCCATAAATATTAAAGTCTACATCTGGACCCTAAAAAAATATTGAAAAAATATTTTTGATATTTTGATCAAACCCTAATGGATGATCATAAACTGATTATGATATCTATTTTTTGGATGTTGAAAACATGAGAAAGATGTAATTTTTTAATGAAAATATGCTTTGAAATTTTTTAGGATTTGGCCATGAAAACAATTTTTTCTGTTTATTTTTTATTTTTTGAAAGGGACAATTAATTTAAAATATTTAATATTTTCTGAATTTTTTTGATTTAAAAAAAAATTTAGGAGAAAATCATGTATTTTAATACCAGATTTGTATTTTACAATATAAGTATATAACCTAATATTAAGCAAAACTAGTAGAAAAATATATGAGGGAATCACAATTTTTTTCAAAGGAATCTTAAATTTTTTTTTAGAATTTTTAAAGAAAAAATATATAATATAATATTATATATATTTATTAAATATTATTAAACACATAGGGGCTGGGCTAGCCCAACCTAGCTAACTAAGCCAAGCTTAGCCCCATAAAAGGTAGGCCAACATCGACGCAAAATGATTGGGTCGATCTCGGCCTAAAATATTTTTTTATTTTTTTATTTTTAAGGCAGGGTTGGACTCAACCGAACTCTTATGTTGGGCTAATATTCGTCCGACCCAAAAACAATGCTAATTATTTACAAAATATGAACAGTGTTTTACGTTCTACATGCAATTGAAATAGTTGTATAAAATGAAGGTTGACGGAGGATCGACTCACTCGAAGCAAGAGTCTTGAATGTGATTAAGAGGCTTAGCTAGTAGCTCTAACGACGTTTCTGCGAGGAACGGTGGCCGAAGTTGTTTATAGGAAGAAGAGGAAAACTTCTGCAGAAGTGAGAGAGAGGAAGAAATGGTGGATGCTTTAGGCGTGGGGGTGGCCAACTTGTGGTTGGGCTAGTTAAGTATGGTGGAGCTGGTGGTGGCTGGAATGACAAAGAAAGAGGGAGAAAAAAACTGCAGGAATGAGGGGTAGTAGGGCTAATTATTGGCTGATTTTGAATTTGATTTTTTTCTCCTCAGATCATGAAATTCACCTTTATTTATAGGGGTGAAAGTGGGCAATCTTGTTTGTACCGGGAAAAAATTGTAGTTTTTGATTCAGTTGGGAAAGATTCTAATTGTTGGTTTAAAGTAGGCAATCTGCAGGAAATGACTGATTGAGGTGGCTTCTTTTGGCTAGCGCCGGTGCTGATGGGTTGTCATTCAGTCTGAACGGGCCATATAGGGCTATAGATAAATTAAAGAGGATCATTTTCATGCAAGATTTGCTAAATTTGATGGATGTTAGAAGCATTAAATGCACTTACAAAGTAAGTAACTGGAATAGCTTTTCAAAAAAAAAAATGAAGTAGATAATGAATAGTGACAAGACGACGCGTCGTCTAAGTTTTTTTAAAAAAAAATACAAAAAGACGTTGTTTAGGGTAAAATTAGTGATTTTTTGCTGATCTTCAACTTAGTTCTCTAGCTTTCAATTATTTTCAATTGCACCCCTAATTGATCATAAACTTTTGATTTAGGCCCTTGTGGAACTTCAACTTTAGCCCTGTATTTATGCGCTTTTTGCATTTTGGTCCTTGTTCTTGGATTTATGCAATTTACCCTAATCAACCATTAAACTTTTAATTTCTTCAATTAAATCCTCAGTTTTTGTCAATTATGCCCCTGTTGTCTAGTGTCTTTTGCAGATTGGTCATTGGCTGTGAATTTTATCAATTTATCTCCTAATTGACCATAAAACTTCAATTTTCTTGCAATTTTACCCTTAATTTCAATTAATTTACATCGAAAAAAATTAAATTTGATCTCTTAAAATTTCAATCTTCTCAATTAAGTTTAAATTGGGCTTATGCCCCTGTTGTCTAGTGTCTTTTGCAGATTGGTCATTGGCTGTGAATTTTATCAATTTATCTCCTAATTGACCATAAAACTTCAATTTTCTTGCAATTTTACCCTTAATTTCAATTAATTTACATCGAAAAAAATTAAATTTGATCTCTTAAAATTTCAATCTTCTCAATTAAGTTTAAATTGGGCTTCCATATTTAAATTTTCACCAAGTAAGCCTCAAATAAAATTAACTTGACCTATTTAAAATATAATTAAGTCCTTACACTTAATTAAATCTTTCAATTAGACTCAATTTAATTCTTAAACATAATTAAAATTCAATTTGGCCCATGATTAAATCAAGTTGGCCTATTAAAAATTTAATTATGTTCTCGAACTTAACTTTTATGTAAATTCATCCAATAATCATTTAATTTCACATTGAATTTCTATTTTCTCTTTATTTTAGGGTATAATGGGGGTACAATTAGGTTTTTAATTTTCTTAAAAATTACAACTTGATTTTTTCAATTAAAATTCAATTTGGCCCATGATTAAATCAAATTGGCCTATTAAAATTTTAATTATGTTCTCGAACTTAATTTTTATGTAAATTCATCCAATAATCATTTAATTTCACATTGAATTTCTATTTTCTCTTTATTTTAGGGTATAATGGGGTACAATTAGGTCTTTAATTTTCTTAAAAAATTACAACTTGATTTTTTCATATTTTTATAGTCCTCTTCGATATGTTTTCTTCACATTGCCAGCTTTTATTTTACTTCTTTTTTATTTTTATTTTTAAAAATAAATTTTGAAGAATAACCTAGAATTGGGTTATGGCACCCAAAATTTAAAGACTTAAATGAGGATAATTGTTTTATAGATGGATATCACCTCTAGAAAAGGTATTTAGTTTAGGATAATAAGTTTCGTATCCCGAAGATATCAGTGCTTGAATTTTTTTATATAAGAGATTTAAGCTGAAGGTCTTTCAGGACACTTTGAAAGAAATAATACCATTGAAGAGGTAAAATGTCAGTTTTTTTTATCTAATTTGAAAAAAAATGTAATTAAGTTGGTGGATCAATGTTGAACATGTCAACTAGCTAAGAAACAAAATAGAACACCAGGCTCTACATCCTGTTGGTTGTTCCTATTTGTCTTTGGCAAGATGTAAGTACAGATTTTATGCTTAGACATGTACGTACTACAAAGAAGCATGATTATATTTTTGTGGTTGTTAACTCCCTTTTTAAGATGATCCATTTTATCTCTTGTACTAAGATCGTAGATGCTTCCAAAGTTGCGAAATTTTATTTTGACAAGATTGTCAAGTTGTATAGTCTTCCTTAAATCATAGTCTCAAATAAAGATGTTAAATTTATGAGTTATTTCTAGAAAACCCTTTGCTATATGGTGGGATATAAGTTGAAGTTTTTTAGTGCCTACCACCCCTAAACTGATGGTCAAACTAAGGTGGATAATAGAAATTAAGGCAACATTTTGAGATGTTTAATGAGTGATCATAATAGAAATTAGGATTTGATTCTTCCTTTGGCCTAATTTGCCTATAATAGCTATATCAATAAGTATGGGTCCCTTTGAAGTTATACATTGTTACAAGCTTATGAAACCTTTAAACCTTCTTCCTATGTCTCTTCATGTTAGGGTGTCGGAGTCAGCTGAATCTTTTGCATGTAAAGTTAAGGATTTGCATGTTGGGATCACAAAGCAGATTCAAACAAGTAATGCGTCATATAAACTTCAAGTTGATTTACGTAGACGATATAATAAATTTAATCTGAAATACTATGTTATGATATGGATTAAACCCAAACAATTTCTTTTAAGAATTAATCGAAAATTGCTTGCATATGGTGTGAGGCTATTTAAAGTGCTATAATGGGTTAATTCAAATGCTTATGTTCTAGATTTACCATTTGATTTTGGCATTAGCTCTACATTTAACATTAAGGATCTAGTTGCATATTCAAAATCACTTCCTATTCCAAATGATCCCTTTGAGATGCCATCTGACTCCCCTCCTGATGATCCTATTGAAACCTTTATCTCTAATCCTTTCACCTTGATCTTAGCATAAAAGGATAACACTAATGCTATTTTGGATGAACAAGTTGTCTATATCAGGAATGGTGAGGTTCAACGATTTCTAGTTCGTTGGGTGGGCCGACTTGATTCAAATTATATTTAGATTACTAGAGATACTTTGCAGCAGATTAATCTAGATTTTTTCGAGTGCTATCAAAGTCATCCAGAACTATATTCGATAAGGTCGAGTTTGTTTAACATTATGAGAGTTGGTGAAAAAACCAGACCCACGCCATATTTTTCACTAGTATATAGATGGAGACGACATATGATGACCCAACCTATAATTATTTGGTTAGAAGACTAAGCATATTTGGTTGGGAGACTAAGTCTATTTGGTTCTATTTTATTATTTTATTTTATTTATTTGATTTATTTATATTATACATGTTTAATTGATGTTCTGAGTCCAATAAATGGTTGTTTTAAGGTAATGTTATTTATATGTTTTTTTTTTTCAATTTGTAAGACAGTTTTTGATAATTAAATAAAAATGACATACTTTTCCTTAATGAAGTCTCTTTTCTTCTTAGCTTTTGTCTTCCAATTTTTTTTAGCTTCTTTCTTTCTTGCTTTAATTATCTTTGTTCATTGATCCGCATCAATCACTCTCTAATTTTTGTTACTTCTACTCATTGTACATGAGTTTTTTTTTGACGTTTGGCATATTCATTTAGGTCATGTATCTAATTTCATTATTTTAAAAAAAAAAAAAATATCATCAGTTATGTGTGACATTATAGCTCCCCAATCCTAATGTGTGCTCGAGTTGTTAGCTTGCTAAAAGTCATTGTCTTTTCTTTCAACTTAATGATAAATGTGCTTCATCTGTATTAGAACTTATTATCTGTGATATGTGAGGGTCTATATACAATCTATTCAAATCTTGGTTTTAAATATTATGCAATATTTGTTCATGATTATTCAAGATTTATATGATTTTATCATTTGAAACTCAAATCAGATTTTTTTTAGCATTTTTACTCATTTTTAAAAATTTATTAAAAATCAATTCTCGATAAAATCAAGAAATTTCGAAGTGATAGCGTAACTAAATTTACAGTTCACAAATTCCAAGACCATTTAATTCAATTTGGAATTCAACATCGAATGTCTTGTTCATATATTCCATCACAAAATTATGGCGTAAAGCGCAAATATAGACATATAACTAAAACTCCCATGTCCCCTGAAATTCTAGGTTGATACCTTCAACACTATCACTTTCACAATTAATTGGCTGCCAGCTCTTACACTTGATAACATGTCGTCATTTGAGATATTGTATGCTAAATCACCATCTTACTCCAATTTTCATCCATTTGGATGTCAAGTTTTTCCCTACTTATGAGATTATGACTCCTTGTAGGTGTTCATGTGTTTTCTTTGGCTACAACATGTCTCATCATGGTTTTCATTACCTTGATCGTTTTAACTAATCAAGTCTTCACCTTTAGACATGCTATTTTTTATGAACATAGATATCCTTTTTCAGAACTTGCCTACGCTAGATCTCTATCTAGTTTTTGTGTTAATGCATTTCTTGAGCCAAGTCCTATCATCACCAGACTCTAAGGTCCATTCCTCACAGCAACACAATTCTTTATCACTACCGTGTCGCTCTTGTTTAACTGATACATCGACAAGTTTTATGCCACCATCTATTTTGCAGGATTCAATCACAAAGTCATCTTTAACACATGAACAAGACTCTAGATCCTCTTCATAATTAACTTACATGGCTTTATCGTCATTGGATCCATCTCTTGCTGGCTCTAGTCTCCTAGGTACCTAACCTATGCAAAGTTAAGCTCAAGTTGGCTTTTTTAAACCAAAACACAAGACTCATGTTTGCACTGTTCTAGATTCTAGCCTTTTTCACTATCTGCTTACCATGCGTGCTCCTAAAGGTTTCAAATCAGTCACTAAACACCCAGTTTGGACAACTACGATGGATGGCGAAATTCAGGCTCTTCAACAAAATCAAATATGGGATCGGTACCTCGACCAACTCATAAAAATGTTGTGGGTTCTAAATGAGTTTCTCGAGTTCAAGTATTTATGAAATGGCTTGATGGATCGTCTTAAGGCCTGACTTGTCGCATAAGGGTACACTCAACTATTAGGTCTAGATTTTACTGAGTTTTTTAGCCCTGTTGTCAAGGCATCCACATTTAAGTCGTTTTATCTTTGGCAAATTCAAAATATTAGCCTCGACGTCAACTTGATGTTAAGAATGTATTTCTTAACTGTTTTTTACAGAAAGAAATATACATAGAACAACCACTTGGTTATATTGATTCCCAACATTCCACACGTGTATGGACTTTATAAAACACTTTATGGGATAAAACAAGCTTGTTGGGCTTGGTTTCATTGTTGAATGCTGGGTTTTTTTCCAGTTATGCTGATTTATTATTATTTGTTTTTTTTAAGGGTGATAATTTAATTTATTTATTATTATATGTTGATGATATTGTTGTGACTAGAAACAATTTGGTTCTTCTTGATGGCTTTATTAGCATTCTAATAAAAGAGTTTGCTACCAAGGACATGGGATTCCTGACGTATTTTTTAAGCTTGGGAGCACATCAACATTTTACTAGTCTTTTTCGTCATGTTAAATATGCATATATATACAAGCTAGGATGAATTTGTGTTTCTGTTCATGCAAATTCGATTTGTAGACTTGTTTGGTACAAGTGTTATGTGTATTTATGTTTCTGTTCATGCAAATGGGATAACTGAATCCTGGAACTCTTCTTTCTTCTTAGTGAGTTTGGTTGCTTATATGCGGTATAGACCCTTGTGCTCTTCGTAATTAACTCTTGCAAGTGTTGCATCAATGACATTCAGGTGGGCGGCCATTGCTTCTCAGCTGCCAGGGAGAACAGATAACGAGATCAAGAACTTGTGGAATACTCACCTGAAAAAGCGCCTTCTTTGCTTGGGAATTGATCCCCAAACTCATGAGCCCTTTTCATCCCGTGGACCAGTCATTAAAGGACCCGCATCCCCAGCTACACGCCATATGGCGCAGTGGGAGAGTGCTCGGCTGGAAGCCGAGAAACGCCTTTCAAGGGAGTCATCACTCTTCCTTCCACCGATGGTGGAAAAAATTGATTGTGATCACTTTCTGCGCATATGGAACTCTGAAGTTGGGGAATCCTTTCGAAGGATCAACATGGGAGACAATAAAACTGCATGCCAAAGTCCTGTTTCTCAGGCATCTTCGTCGACAAAATGTGGATCAATTTCAGCTATCACTGCAGATATTATCCCCAACTTATCACGGTCCCCCGCCACAGCAAGCAATCAAAATGAAGATATGGAGTGGAAAAGCCCCAAATCCTATGCAGAAGATGTGCTGGCTGGGTCTGATTCAAGTTCAGCTGAATTGGAGGATTTAACAGACTCCACATTACAACTTCTGCTGGATTTCCCCATTAACAACGACATGAGCTTCTTAGATAAAAATATTGACAGCTATGCCACTTCATCTGCGATGTTGACTGGACCCTCATGATATGCCCTCTATGAAGCATGGACGAAAATGTTGCTGTGTATAATGAATCTTCTTTTGCCAGGATGTTCATATGCTCTTTTTTGGCACTACAATTTCTGAAGCTAGTTTAAGAGCAAAGAAAGTTAAGAACCAAGCCAGCGGCAATTGTGGGTAGTTTTTCAGCCTACAGTTACATACAGATGGTGATGTTAGAATTTCGTTTCCTAGTTTTATTTACTCGGTACCTTGCTGACATATATACTAAGGGACCTAAACTTCCAGGTTTAGTTTCGCAACTATGCTATATATGCGATGCTAAACTCATATTGCCAGGATATTTGTTTCTACTATCCATTAGAAATCTATCTGCACCAAGCTGCACCAGGTTATGACTCTGTTTTGTGAAGATATTGACATGATTATGTTAATGTGATTTTGGACTCAATAATATTTATTTAGGTGGAAACTGTACAGTGTAGGAATCAGTAGTTGAAGCTAACCCTTTACCCTGCCATGGCAATATGGTAGATTAATAGTTGAGTTCCGAAAGGGAAGGATACTACTGAAGGACCAAAACAAAGCCTTTAGATTTTGTATAGACCTAGTTGTGGTGGTATAATGTTTCTGAAATCATTTTGGCAATCAATAATGGCTTACTGTCTACCGAATATAAGGAAAAATTCTCACTGACTGCCCATGAATCTCATCAGTCATTAGCTTTCAGAAGATACCGAAAAATATGAAAAGGATGTGTTCGCCAAGGCAACCTCACTAGTATGCCAAGAGAAGCCAACTTCACAAACATGTTAATCTTGTTTCTCACAGATCAAATATTGTATTCCTATACATAAACACACTGAATATTTAAATTTTCCGATGTTTAATGAAAGAAGACATGAAACCATGTGGGAGGGAAAAAAAAAAGCAAGCAAGAACGAGGAGTTAAAAACACTATATGCAGAGGAAGAATAATGATTAAACTTTCCGCTTCCATGCTAGGCTCCTAAAGTTGCGCCTTCAGAAGCAACCAAAGAGCTTCTTTGGGGTTTGCCCAGTAGCACGGTATTTTGCAGCCGCCTCCCCTGCCTTTAAGACCTCTTCCCCGCGTTTGGCTTCAACAATTGCCTTCTTTTCCTCAGCTTCTTTGTGAATTAAAGCAATCTTGTTTTTCATTTTCTCTGCATATTCTGCCTTTTGCTTCTCCAGTTTTTCCTGTCAGCCACTTATTTTGTTAATGTGGATCCCAAAATGCTAAAAGAACCACAGTATAAATGGCAGGATAGTAACCCGTTAATTTCTTAATTTTAAAGCCTCTATCATCATGAGATTGTTACAAGGACGTTTTAACTGGGTGGGGCGAGGGATTGTCAATCACTTGGAAAACTAAGCACCATAGCATCAAAAGAATTTCAGAAATTAACAGAGAACCAAGATGACAAGAGTTCAGTTACCTCGATCTTTCTCAGTTTGGCTTCTAGAGCTGCCTTTTTGCTGTTCTCCCAGGCAGCAACAGCAGAGAGCTTTTTCTGAGACCTGTTAATTAGTTATAGCACGTGCAATTTGTCAGCAATCAACTTCTTCCAAATCATTTAGAAAACAGAGAAAAAGTTAAACAGTACCCCTCAAAATTTGCCGCACCAGAAAAAAAACATGGTCAATTGTTTAATGCACAAAATCCGTTCCAATTCTTCAACTTTCAGTATTTTTAGGTCAAATAGAGGACTGATCCTTGATCTACTTGTACACACACACACATATAATGTGTATTTTAAAAGCCATACTGAAAAAGGAATAGAGGTCTAAATGTTTTTACGAGGGGTTTTCTTAATGGGATTAAATAAAGCATTACAGTAAACCCCACTCGTACGCACAAAGCAAGCAAAGAATTCTGTAAACTCAAAGCAAAGAGTGAGAGGCACGAGAAAACCTCACTTGTTCTCGGCTTTAGATTTCTCGCTGTCTTCCCATGCCTTAATAAAGGAAAGTCTCTTTTCTTTTTCAAGGTCAGCAAGAGCTACATCTGAAAAACAAAACATCAAACGTCAGATCATTGCTTGGCGAACATTAAACCTACGCTCCCTATGCAAAATGAATTTCTTAGTTGTGTTCTTCTCAAGAAGTTGGGACACACACACACACACAATAAACAATCTCAAAACTGCCCATAAGAAATTCCCAAAAGATGACAATGGACTAAAACTCCAGAATCCCTCAGCCAGTACAAGAGAATTCAGCCAGAAATAAACTCATTCATTTTCCAAAGAACATCCTAATGCTCCATTACTCTTAGTGACTACCATGTCATGGAAGATGGGAAAGGACTAAAGAGTCTTGGCAACTACAAGTACCTCTGTCAATTGATCCGCCTGAAACCTTCTTCGGAGCAGGTTCTATCTCTGCCAAAAACAGAAAATAATTAGAAGCAGCTAAAGATCTGCATGGATGGAAAAATTAGGTTGTTGAGGATGTGATTCATATAGAAAGAATATTTTTTTTTTCCAGTCACCGACACCCTATTTTAGTTCGAAAAAGCAATATACACAATAATCAAAATTACAAGGAAAAAATGAAATTTTTGACAAAGCAACAGGGTTTAGACCTCGTGATCAACCCTGGGATACATTAAGTCATGAAATGTATTCTTAACACCTTAATTGGTATATAGGAAGTGCTCAATACCACTTGTATTGATCCCATTCATCATAAAATAGCTTGTTTTACAACCGAGACACCATCTTTTGAATTAATTATTATTTAATAAGAAATTTATTCTGCCAAAAGACAACAGTAAAAAGATTAATGAGGAAAGTCATACCCAAAAGGGTCACAACAGGCAACAACTTTGGTCTAAGCTATTTGCAATTTTCACATGGGCGAGTGGAGTTCCTATTCAAGATCCTGGAATTGCATGATCGATGCTATTTCATATATGCCTTTATCAAGCCATATAAAAGCATAAAACCATTTATGGATAATAGTATATCAAACCCAAATAGTTCCTTTTTGGGTGTCATTATACCAAGATACGGGCAAATCTACCAACTAGGGACTGTATTCCAGATTTTTTTTTCTTTCGAGATACCATTTTTCTCCAAATAAAGTTAAATATTGTAATGACACTGTGCTTAGTAGGGACTAATCCTCACAAAATGTAAAATAATGGAGCAAGCACCTTGCAAGGTTGTAAACGACAGCTAATTTCGCGAGATAGAGAGAACAAACAGTCAAAAGTCTTTGAATTACAGGTACATACCACCAAAAGAAATATGTTTATCCAATGAAGTATCCAGTACATACAGGTTGTATTGCATTTATAAAGTCTTCAAAATCAAGATACGAATTTGACACGAAAATCATATTAGCTAGGATTGCTTTGGGTACCCGAGGATTAGCTCTCACGAAAAGAGATTCTCCTTTTAAAATATCAATTCAATCATGAGAGTATTCCTTTTCCTTTTCTTTCTTTTCAGATTAACGATGGATTAGTCAACAAAAGGGGGAACTCAAGCTCAAAAGCATCCATGAGCTTCAATCCCGTTGGCGAGTCCTGTCTTTGATACATTAAATCAGAAAGCAAAAAAAAACACGGTTGTAAGAAATTTAATCCCTTAAAAAACCCGTTAAATAATTCTTTCAATTTAAAAATTTAAGCTATTAATTAAGTTCAAGAATATTTATATTATCCCTATAATAGATATTTAAAATAAAAGTTATTTGATCTGAAACTTGCATACATCCTTTGCTTGATTTTTATTAATTAAAATGATAGTTGTGAAATCTAAACATGTGAGGCTCTAATATTATATAAAAAAAATTATTTTAATCTAAAATTTAAGCTAGCCACGTCTATTTAGAAACTTTACTTGCAATCTTTTTTTCCTTAAAAAACAAAAGCCAAGACAGATAGACACAGAAAGCGACGATAAACTTCCAGAACAACGAGGGGGGCAAAAGCTCTATGTAGCGTTATCCAGACATAGCCATTAGAAGAAAGAAGAATCAGAATTGGGAATTGATCGATTTATTTCCGAAAATAAATTTTTCAGGTCAATATCATATTAATTATACCAACTTCTGGACACAAAATCGATAAAATTAAAAAAATTAAAAACTACCAAATTCAGCCATTTCCATTCCAACCTCACTAAAAACTACTAATCACATCCATCATTTCAAGAGAAAATGAACACGAGTTTAATTTGGTTTCTCATAATTCTCCTGAAAAATAAATAAAGAATCAGGGACAAAGAACTTACTTTCAACAACAGCAAGAGCTTTTGATTCCTCAGCAGCAGTAGCTGCCTTCTCTTTCTCTGCAGCCACTGGAGGGGGGGGAGCCGTAACTTTCCCCCCGGCCCAATC